ATCATCAGCATTATCATCATCATCGAGATCATCATTGAGATCATCATCAGGATCATCACTGGGATCATCGGGATCATCATTGGGATCATCGGGATTATCAGAACCACCACTGGGATCATCATCGAGATCATCAAGATCATCGGGATCATCATCGGGATCCTCACTGGGATCATCGGGATCTTCGGGATCCTCATCGGGATCCTCGGGGTCCTCATCGGGATCATCAGAACCGTTATTGGGATCATCAAGATCATTGGGATCCTCATCGGGATCATCGGGATCCTCATCAGGATCATCGGGATCCTCACTGGGATCATCGGGATCCTCATCAGGATCATCAGAACCATTATTGGGATCATCAAAACCGTTATTGGGATCATCAAGATCATCGGGATCCTCATCGGGATCTTCGGGATCCTCATCAGGACCATCGAGATCCTCATTGGGATCCTCGGGATCCTCATCAGGACCATCGAGATCCTCATCGGGATCATCGGGATCCTCACTGGGATCATCAGAACCGTTATTGGGATCATCAAGATCATCGGGATCCTCATCGGGATCATTGGGATCTTCGGGATCCTCACTGGGATCCTCGGGATCCTCACTGGGATCATCGGGATCCTCATCAGGATCATCAGAACCGTTATTGGGATTATCAAGATCATCGGGATCCTCATCGGGATCTTCGGGATCCTCATCAGGACCATCGGGATCCTCACTGGGATCCTCAGGATCCTCACTGGGATCCTCACTGGGATCCTTGGGATCCTCACTGGGATCCTCGGGATCCCTCCGAGGGCAGCGAGAGCTCCGGGAGGATTTTGGGGGGAAATTTTTTGGGGTTTTTTTTTTTGGGGGTGGGAAAACGGGGATTGGGAATTGTGGGATTTTATCCTGGAATTTGGATCCTGGGGATGCTGGAGGGGTTTGGGAAGATCCAGAGGGAATTCCCGGGGTTTATTCCCGGGATTTCGTCACTGGGAGACGCTGGGAGGGACCGGGAAGATCCGAGGGCATCCCAAGGCTCCGGGAATCCGAAGGAATTCTGATCCCCCCCGGGAATTCCCCCACCCCGAGACATTTCCGGGACCTCTTCCCAAAATCTGGGAGGGAAAGATCGGGAAGGAAAACCGGGAAAAGCCCCAAATCCGGGCCATTCCCAACCCCCATCCCGCCGGAATTCCTGGGAAAACCCCCCGGGATCGCCCCCAATAAAACAAATTCCACCCCCGGCTCTGCGCTCTGGGATTTTTTTGGGATTCCCGGCGGGAATTCCCGCCCCTTCCGGGATTTTTTTTGGGGGATTTCACCCCCTTCCCCCGCCTTTAATCCCCAAATTCCCAAAATTCCGGAATTCCCGGATGAGCCCCCAGAAAGAGGGCGGGTGACGAATGCAGAATTCCTTTAATTAGAAAACAGCCGTTAACGAAAGAAAATCCAAGGAAAAACAAAACAAAACAAAAAAAAAAACCGGGAAAAAACAAACAAAAAAAAACAAACCAGGAAAAGACGGGAAAAAAAAACCGGGAAAAGACAGAAAAAAATCCCCCAAATCCCAAAAAAAAAAAAAAAAACCAAAAAAAAAAAAACCCCAACAAAACAACCCCAGGAAAACACCAGCGAAAATTCCCGGCCGGAATATCGGGAATATCCCTCCGGAATTCCAATTCCCAACCCCTCCCCCACCCCCAAAAGCTCCCTGAAAGATTTTATTGCACTTAAGAAAGAAAAGCGACCCCTCCCCCACTCTGGGAATTCCCTGGGAATTCCGGGAATTTCGGGAATTCCGGGCTGGGAGATCCCCGCGGCGCATCCCGGATTTTTTTTTTTTTTTTTCTTTTCCGCATCCCGGATTTTTCTTCCCTCTCTGTCGCTCCAGAAATTTGGGATGAGCGAGGAATTCCGGCCCCTCCCTCTCCCATTTTCCCTCCTGGGTTTTTTTTCCCGGGAATTCTGCGTCTCCCGGGTTTTTTTTCCCGGGAATTCTGCGTCTCCCGGGTTTTTTTTCCCGGGAATTCTGCGTCTCCCGGGTTTTTTTTCCCGGGAATTCTGCGTCTCCTGGGGTTTTTATCCCGGGAATTCTGCGTCTCCGGGTTTTTTTCCCGGGAATTCTGCGTCTCCTGGGTTTTTTTTCCCGGGA